ATCGATCTGGGTGTTTTCAATGTATATTATATATTTGTATCAATTGTCTAGTGCCCAAGCTCTGCGTGGCACTGACACTTAATGTGACTAAGAGTTTCATAATTTCTAACTCCCCTCATCCTTGTCACATTTCTGACTCCCCCTCCTTGGTGTGACGTTGCGTATCTACAAATAAATAAATTAACAAATAAATAGCATTTATATTTTTTTAATTTCCAATTAAAATATATTTTTTTAAGATGTAGATTGTGAAATGTGATATCACAAATATTATGCCTCCTCCCATCCATTGTCACACTATGTCACACTACCAATTCTCGCTCCATTCCGTAAAGAGTGATACAATTTATTAATGAATATTCCAATATATTAATGTGACTCTTTATCGTCAGAGATTACCGTTCATTACGGTGCATTGATACGACCATCGCAATACAATGGGGTGGCACAAAAATGGAAAATAATTACAACGAAGTCTTTTTAACGCTCCATACCTTTCTGTATAAACCTACCGCTCAATTATTGAGGATATTATAGTATGGATAAGATGTAGACTGTGAAATGTGACGTAATGAAATTTATGACTCCTCCCATCCATTGTCACAATATGTCACACTTCCAATTCCCTCTCTACTCTGTAAAGTGTGACACAATTAATTAATGACCTCTTACCATGAATATTACAGTATATTAATGCGACTCTTATCGTCAGAAATTACTGTTCCCGAGGACTAAGGTGTAACGCATTACAACCTTCAGTGCCTGAAATGGGATATCGTCATGGTACACCATTACGGCGCATTGTTACGACCATCGCAACACAATGGGGTGCCGCGAAAATGGAATTACAACGAAGTCTTTTTAACGTACTATACCTTTCTTTATAAACTTACCACTTAATCATTTCAATTGGCTGAAATTAGAAAAGACAGACAGATTTAAACAATAACTTCTACTTCCCGTAAAGTTTTATATGTTATTAGACCTTATATCAATACTAATTGTATCCCACAACGCTGCTCGCATAAATTCGAGTACAATTAAATCGGCGTCAAACCCGTTCTATCTTCATTGGGAAATCTAAATTTAGTCTCGGTAGTCTAACAGTTTAGCACACCACCTTACTTCCGATGGTCGTAGGTTCGATTACACGCACTGTACAAACATTTATATTCATGAGTATGATTGTTGTTTTATATGTATATTGAGAATAATAATAACCCAGGATAATTCACACAGAGCTATACCAAGCTAAGCAGAGCTTGTGTTATGGGTACTATACTAGTGATATACACACCATAAAAATGTATTTAGTCATTTGCTTCAGTTATTTAGTACCCATTACACAACACTAAGACTGGATAATTTTTCGTATTTATAATATTAGTAACATAATCGGTAACTAAATAGTGATTTATGTTAGAATTGTTGCTAATTATGGTGATTTATCCCAAGTTCCGTTGGTTTAAGGAAGTTTGCTCATATTAAGCCAGAATCATATTAAGTCTTCACTTAACAAAACAAAGATGAATGATGATCATAAAGAATTTAGCCCCAAACTTTATAACAAACAACATACTAATGAAGATGGACGCCTGTGTGCCACGTTTTGATAACTATATCACAAAGCGAATATTATATGAGATATATAAATTTGAAACGAGATATACTTGTTTGATCTTGTGTTAAATATTTATAAGTTTCAATACTATGATAATGAGGCTTATTAAATGCTGAATATGGATTAGATATTAGAAGTCGCTGATTGTTTTTCATTACTGACAGATTGGCACATCATGAAATGAAAGCTTACCGTTTGATCTAAAAATATATTCCCTATACATGATTTTTGGTATTTCAATATTAGCATATAATTCTTTTTAGTCTCATTTCTGGTATATATTTACCAAAGCGGACTGTGCGAATTCGTTTGCGTGTCCCACCTATTTTAGCTTTTTTTATCTCACGATGCATACCAATCACGGCGGCCCATCTTATGGTGAATAGTTACCGTACCCTATGGATGCTTGAAACACCAGGGGTGTCACGGACAATTTGTCGACTCTTAGGAAACCTTAATATACTACTCTTCTTGAAAAACCCCATGCTGTAGTTTCTAGAGAAGTTAATCAGCTTGCTTGATAAGGTGTCTTTCTGTTGGAATGGTTCTCTGGAATAACAACGCATGGTAGGGGTATTACGAGCCCCTTGATGACTTAATATCCATGTAGTTTATATATATTTCCGACGTTTGCATAAATATTACCTTAATATTATGGAAAGTACATATAAATTTAATATTAATATTGTTGTCTATCTTCATCGAACTTATGTTCTGTATACAGTAAATATAATAAAACTCTTAATAATAAAAAAATACAAAATATGAATTATAAAACTATATACGTAATAATACCTAGTATATATATAATAATTCTTAGTTGTAGACCACTCATGCATAAATGAAATATCTAATTTGGAATGTACACACTCTATCCTGAGGAGATAAAAACCAACTCTAAAGAGCTCCTAAGAATATGCTTCAATTCTTGTCCCTAAGGGCCCAGGCAACGAGCTCTAAAAAAGGACTGCTACTACTAGTCTCTTTAGCACCGATTAATAACCCAAAAACCGTAATTAAAAAAAAAACTTTAACATTAGAAATGTTATATTTGACATAAATAATGTTTTAAATTGTATTAGTCATACAAAGTAATCAATATCACATACCAATATACGACGCTGTTGTTAATAGTCAGTCCATTAAATATAGATTGGTTGTCTGCATCCATATTGATGTGTAATTGAATTTGGCGAAGTTAGTCCTAACTCTGACGTCAATAATTCATGTACATTACGTTCCTACGAGACGGTACATGCACTACAAATTAGTTAATTCCCACGAAACATACAAACTATTAGGTATGACATTATACTTATTTTACTATAAGATTAAAATTAACAGGTTACCCGAAGGTTGCTTGTAAAAATTGCTTTCATCAATAAGGACGACTCGTTGTGTATATAGACATAATTTACTCATTAATTGTTCTATGACAGAACAATTACTGAGTAAACTATATAATGATAGAATTTTGCAGTATACGATGTTAGAACTTCTATCATTGTATACTACAAAAAAGCATATTTTATCTATCTAATTAGTGTATATGCTTGAAAATAACACTGTAAGATATGGCTTTTTATATAATTGGAATAGCAAACAGACTGACCCACCTAATGATGTTGAAATGACAGTCAACCTCCGGTACTTCATCATACACATTCTTATCACTTGAAATCTGAAACCACAAGTCGAATATGGAGATAAAATTAAAAGTGCTTAATTTAATTTATTTTTATGATTATATTTTTATTGTTATTAGTTTGCAAGTGAAATGTCTATAATTTTTTACTTTGCATGTTTTTATTTCTCGGGATAAAGTATTATACCTTAATAGAGAAGAAATCCGTCGTTTAGCAGTCTGCCCTACCTCACCTATTACGCGAACCAATTCTACCGGAGTCCTACGCGCTACGCGACATTGTGATCCTGGCAAACTGGTCAGAGTCACTGTACGGTTCTTAATGAGGTAAGAATCCCACACATCGCGAGTATCGTATCCTTCAAAGTTTACCAGGCCTCACTGGCATGGTAAACTTTTATAATTACTATATTAGTACCCTTGTAGGGTATGATAGTATTACTCTACTAACATTTGAATACTCTAACTGTAACCACAAATCAGAATTGGAAACTAGTGCAGTAAATGACTAGGTCGGGAGATACTAAAAAAATAGATATAGAAGTACATACAGTAGAAAAAATAAAACTATAAAAATTAGTAACCTTCTTTAATCACATATTCAAGAGAATCATAAGTAACAGTTTTCTTTTGAAGCATCATAAAAAATGACAGAACATAATATTAAGATTGACAGTTTATTCTTAGAAAATGTTTTCCCTCGTATACTCATAAAAATGTCAAATGTCAAATAAACATTCCATTGCTGTGTTCATCTCTTTCTTTCAATCTTAATTCTTAATGTTAGAAGGTAACAAAATAAGATATCTGTTTAATAACAACTTTATTGGAAATTTTACATTTTTATGAAATTAAATTTCATTTATCAATTCTCAATAAAGCTTTTAAAAAAAAAAAAACAATAATAACATATGAGCAAAGATGACTGCATAGATTCAAGTTTCTTATATAATATGTCTGAAACTTACATTTATAAGACTAGTATGTACATTTAGACCGGCTAAATTGTAAGAAAAACTAATTTCGACTCTAATCTGTTACACATAAGTACTTAAATTTATTCTGATGTTTTATGTTGTAAGTTATATCACTATAGGTTTACTAGCAGTTCTCACACTATCATATATATAGGATCTTATTGGTATAAAAGATCACTTCATTTATTCATTTTTTATATTACGAAAAAAACAAACTATTTTAGATTTTTGATATTATCTAGTAAATTTACTTTTAATATAAATTATTTAGTTATAAATCTAAGACTTACATAGGATCCTATATGTATGATATTGAGATATCTCAAAGACAGAATATATATGACTCACATTTGATGACTAAAAATCCACCAGTTCAACCACTTTGTCCTTATTTTATAGATGAAATAATACACTTTATTTATCTTTCTTTACCGAAAAAAATGTGAGAAATTTAAAAAAATAAGGCGTAAGTGATAATACTTTTTTATTTAACTGCAATGGTAAATAAGCTGACGTCTCACCATATGGTAAGACCATTGTCTATATGCAGGATTGCTATTCGAGAAAGCTAAGATGTCAAATCTCCTAATCCCATAATTTCACCTTTCAACCAAAACACATTTACAAAGCACGTAAAAGATTTCAATGAGACAACGGTATCCACGCAGGTGGCTTTCTACAAAATTTACGTCAATAAAAGAATTAAATTGAATATAATAAAAAAAATTCAATTCTGGATTTAAAAAAATGTATTTATTTGTATATGGACTTGTTATTTCTTGGTTGTATATCTTACATGTTGTAAATGTGTAATATCACCTTTATAAACAAAACGTATATGTTCTAACTATGAAGATATCGTATTCTTTACACATTTTATTTATATATATGTAGGTATATATATGCAGAATGGTATATGAATTTGCTGACTTATTTTTATAATTACACACAAGAATCTGCGCACATTTCATGAACTTATAATATCACTTCAACTTAACGTTTACTTTCAAAGTAAATATTTAATATCAAGTATGTTCTCAATTTTACTATCTACAGCTGATACTAATTCAACATTATATAGGGTAGAACCAAAATGGCGATCAATAATTTAGAACGTTGACAAATAAATTGTGTGCAACTTTTTTTCAAACAAACTGAAGAGACAAATGGTTATTTAATTATTTAATTTGTAATTAATAAATTGGACAAACTTACCTATGTGTATCCATTTTTATTTTTGTAATGTTGATCTACAAGAGAAGGACACTGTTCTGGCACGGTTGTATGAATGTAGCCAAAAATCTATTTTTTAGACTGCAACACTGCAACGACGGGGATTCAGCGGGCCCGAGACAAAACGTCAACGGTTAAACGTTCAGATTCAAAATTTTCACTAACGATCGCATTACGCATATGCATTGGGCACAGTATGGCGGCCTGTGAACAGGGATTCGGACAAAAAAAGCATTATGCGAGCAGCCCGCAAACAGAACGGACGGGTTGTGTGCTTTTCTAATAATTATTGTAATAATTCAAATTAATTAAAAAAGTTTTTATTACATTCAAGATAAACAACTCACAAATAAGCGTAAACAACACTGCTAATAAATTATATTATTCAGCGCGATATACATTTATTGTTATAAGTTTGTTGTTTACTATTTACTCACATACTCTACATTCTCTCATTGAATTTTATTGGTTTATTTTCATACGTATTAACATACTCGTGAACTACATACAACACACAATTGTAATTTAAGTAATTGGGTAATGAATAACAATAATATGCGTGTATATACACACATTTTCATAGAGATGAGAATATTAAAACTAATAGGTTTCGATTACTGAATATATTGACCACCATTTCGATTAGACCATATATTTTATCGTGATACAAACTGTCACAGACACATGAAGTACATTACGATGGTCCTAGTTTATATACTCATTTCTTATACACAGAGATCTTTCACAATTATCATCATTTCATTCTCGCAGCAATTTCAATTTTCTGGATATTTCATTATAAGTCCAAAATCACTGTGTCCTTACATAAAATATTTATATCAAACAGTACGATATCACTCGTTATTTTTTCTATTACATTACTTATTATCGTATTTTCTTCACAGGTTTCAGTTACGTGTCACGGAGTGTAACGTAAGGGGTTGTTATTCCGTTCACTTGGCTCGAACACTGCTTTTGCGCTTGTCCGGCTTTTGGCACCAACACCAACTGCTCCAGATCGCCCTGTCATCAAAAATGTACATGACTCTACTATATGGACGTGGGTAATAGCAGCTCGGTAATTGTCTACTTTTAAATTGGATTCTAAAATAAAACTAGTTTTGACAAATTAGTGTAGGAGAAAAGGAAAATAAACTTTTACGGTTAATAAAAACACATGAGTAGATATACTATAAAGGTCGTTAGTAATAACAGCTAATTTTAAATTATGTTCTTAGAAAAAAGTAGTATTTTTTTGAATTGATGTAGAGCGTTTATTAAAATAATAAATATATTTATTCGAGTAACAAAGATTAATTTTTTGTCAGTAACATTATCACAATTGTAATTTCCTAATTTAGACTTTGGGATACGTAACCCTTACGATTTTCAAAAAGAAACATGAAAGTATTATAAAGGATGTAGGTAAATTCACATGTAGTCAGTAAGTCTTAGCAAAAAGGAGACTAAAAATTGTCTAAAAAAAATAGTAAACTTAAATATATTTAAACATATTGGCAAAGTTATGGAAAACTGTTTTCTGTTTTTATTGAATTTATAGGTACTATGACCTATAAATTCAATAAAAACAGAAACTTCCACATTTTTGGAGTTTATTGAAAATTAATAACAAGCCTTAAAAAAACATACGAACGTTATTATTTCCATGTAGATAATAACATTGAAAAACAAACAAGAGAAATTTATTGGAGATATAATGTATCCGTAAAGCCTGATTTAAATATCGTGCAAATTAATGTTCAAGGTTATTTCATCATTATTTTGCAGATTTTTTTCATTATTTTACTTGATTTCAGTTTTTAAATTCCTAGATATTTGAATACTCCGTGACTGCGGATAGATCCTACTGCATTTTAAAATAGAATAGTACGTCTGAAATTCTGTTATAGTTTTGGTATAGAGCCAAGAGAATAGGATAAAATTGTATGATTAAGTTATTGACTGTGTGCGGCTTATGCAGAAACAAAATGAGAAAACCGACTTCAAAGTAGGAAGCCAAGTGTCGAATGAGTAATGTTACGTAAAGTTTTAAGAAACTATAGATTTTTAATACATTGTGCTATAGTTATAATGGTTTTTTAAACTATTTACATGTGTTCGTAACTGGTTACTTTACAGTTTCACGAAATTAAATTTGACAAGGGCAGAGGGTAGTTCAATTCCGCGGAAGGACTCATGGCTCAACGGCTGAAGGCCAACTCCTGCTGATGGATATCACTTTAGTCGGAGAAAAGTTACGTCTTTGCATATAGCAGCATTATAACATCAGCTTTGAAGTTTACATAACATTATTTTATGCTATATTTACTTAGTACAGCAATATGTTATCATATATGCTAACAGCTCACAAAAAGATAATATAACAGTAATTGTATCATATTATAAGAGTGCGTTCCTCCCCCAAGCAAGCAGAAGAACAAAAGAAAAAGTTATTTCTTTTTTCAAAATTTCCACATTATTCTACAACGTCAATAAAGTAAAGGGTACACTAAGGTAAAATTCAGGTAGAATACTAAAGAAATTGAACCATTTTCACAGAGAAACTAAGTGTAAATCTGACATTAAATTTTGAACTTTTCGAACTAAACTTACCATCTGACCACGGTTTATATTAATAATGTAAAATATTACTATTTACATCTTTGGTAAAATTGTTTAGTAATATCAATAATGTTATTAATTCTCCCTTTACATCTAATCCTGTACTGGGAATTCTTGAGTCGATTTGAAACATAGCTTTAAATATGCAAATATCTGCAAAGCTGCCATGTAACATATGAGTATTAAGGCACCTCTGCAATGTTAGAATAAATAAAGCCGTCAAGATCAAGTTATATTTACGTAGACTGCGTAGGTACTCGAGTCAAGTCGAGTAAAGTCAAGTTGTGTGTGAAAGTCATTGAAATGCCTGAGTTAACAATATTTTTTGTTACTTTGAAGTCTTTTAAAGAGATTCGAGTAACAGATATGATGATTGCAAGGAGAGATGCGTCAAAAACATAAAAGTAAATTGTTGAAGAATTTATAAAGCCAGATTAAAATGCTCTTACTTTTTATCTATGAATAAAATATAATATTTAAAAGTAATTTGTGACCGTATAATTAATTTCAGAATATTTTTCAATGAACAAATAGATTGACAAATAAATTATATAGTTATTACAAGGCACAAGCAATTTTGATATTATAAATATATGTAATTTTACATAGTTTGACTTGACTTAAGATTAATTAATTTATTGAAGCTGTAGTAATTTAAAAAGGTCGTAATTTAATATGAAAAAGAATATTAATTCTCTGCTGTATCACTAGAATCACAAAATCTATACTTCATTCTCAAGTTACGGCTTACGACTTTTTTTAATGAAATAAATCTTCATTATAGTTTGATGGAAATATATATATATATATATATATATATATATATATATATGGTTTATATTACTTTTAGGTGGATTTAAATATTCTACACTCCATCATCTGATTCGCAATGAATACTTAATCACTAAAATTTCCCTGTTGCGAAATTTCAAGCGCAAAATTTTAATGACAAATTATTTGTAATGGAATTAATAATTAAATTAATCTCAAAATTCTAAATGACAGTATTAATACATACCTTTTATTTTACTTTAAATTACATCAAAGAAATTATTTAGAATAAGTTTTGGACAAAATTCACTATTCTTTAGTGGCGCTGTCGATATTCATTATATTAAAAATTATCCTATGTATTAGGATATGATCGATCTGTATAAGAAATTTCATTCGAATCAGTTTTGTAGTTATTCCATATTATTATTCTAGAATTATTCATTTTTGACACAAAAGAATAACAATCATTTACATATACTGTTATGAATAATAACAATAGTGTATGTAAATGATTTTATAGACATATAAGTATGTATAAACATATAGAAATGAGCAAGATAAAGAGGCAAAAAGGGAAAAGGGCGTATTTATCGGTGAAAAGCGATTTTATGAAATGGATTTCATTTAATATTGTATAAATAACAATTTAAAGTATCTAATATAAACACGAAACTCTAATGAAATTACTACGTTGTTATTTTCTAATCATAGGTTCATCTGAATCTTGACACAAACGAATAAAAACTCACGTTTTCTGAGCTAGTAACAATATGGGTAAACAAAAACATACTCGTATTTCAGTAAATTCCAGTCAATCAATTACACATAAGTAAAAAAAAGATATAAGGGTCCTAACTAAATATTTGGGCAGTTCTCTTTTACGGGTCGCTTCAGTTTTTATTTAATAAGTCGTCCACTTACCGAAAAGAGATAGCCTATAATAAGATCAGCATCCCTCGGTGTAACCAGGGCGTCTTTTTCTAACACATCAGTCCTTAGCCAGCGGCAGTCGACATATGCACGTACTGTGTTGTCATCATGAACACTACACAAAGAAAGAACATTACAATTATTATCTATAATTCATTTATATTATTGATTGGGTGTTAACATGAATAATTATATGGTAAATAAAGTGAGAACGTCGAGAGAGGTAAATACTTTCATTTACCATAAAATTATTCGTGTTAAGATCCGGTTAACAATATAAATAATGTGTATCAAATACGAAAGATTAAAATATTATATTAAAATTAAATAATATTATATTAAAATTCAATTGAAATTTTGTAAGCGTAAATATTTACGTTCCGCTCTATTAGGCTTATTCTATTATTATAGTGAATACAAAGGTATTGTTTTAAATATTGTACATTTTTTACATTCTCCTAGTACTACAATATTACAGTTTGTATTAATAGTACAATATTTTATTGAGTTTAGTTATTCTAGAAAATTATCATAATAGCATGTTTTGTATGTAGAAGAATCAGAGAAATGCACCCTTAAGAAACATCAATATAATAATGTTTATGTACCTACCTAATACATAGCAATAAATATACTATACAACTACCACTATTAATAATTTCATAAACTGATTTTCATAGATTGTTTGAGTTCAACCTGGCGTAATATTAATATGAATTTAGTATACAAAATTCATAGGTGAATTGATATTAATTTCACGGCTGAAATGATTAAATCCAACAAGACCTAACTCTATATAATATTTACCAACCGCTTTGTATTTATAACCCTTTTCGACCTACCAGGTGAGTGAGATAAAAAACATGACCGTAATAAACTATATGAAAATTCTACGTACGAATTCACATGTTAGCTGCTAACATGTACAAGCAATCTCTGGAGAGATATACCTTTCGATCATGTTAGGGTATCCAACCCACCTTCCAATTTGATTAGAAACATGCTACGCGAGATTAGTACCAAATTAACTGGAAATATATTTCAAAATTATCTTATTTATATAATAATTGTTTATCATTTATTATATTTGCACCGCCAACAATTATTATCTGCACCAACTATGGTTGACTGGTAGAAAATGCCGCATGGTGTAAGTCCGCCAAATGTACTTGTATTGTGTGCATTGAAGTTAAATAAATAAATATTCACCCTTTTTATTTTTTGACTTACTCAATTTAAAACTCTGTGACATAAAAAGGGTTTTATTTAGTAAAATTATAATATTAATTGTGACAATAAAATCACATGAAGTTAATATTAGTGTGAACTGCTTCATTCATATTAGACGACTATATTGTCTTTCATGAACTATTGATAATATAAGAACGGATACGTTTTTGTATTTATAAAAATTAATCGAAAGGAGAAAGGTACATAGTATCACATTGCGTTGCATTTGTCTTACAGCTCATGACAAATTTGAGATCTACTGTGTGGTCAAAATAATAAATACCTTCTCTTTTCATTATGATATTATGACAAGTCAAGAGGCCTGTAGAGAAAGAGATATTGAAAATTCGTTTAAATCCATAAAAGTACTCCTAATATAGCAGTAATTATTGTTCTTAAACCAATTATTTATTGTAGTTATTTAAATGAATTCCATTTCTTTTAACTGAGTATTATTATCACTATTATTATCTTTTTATACAGACATAAAACACCATTTTCAATACAATGATTACACATACACTTTAATATTTATCATAAAATTCATATCTAAATAAAAACGCAATGTAATATTTACTAGTCGACCCTGTAAATTAATTACAAAAAAAATATTGCATAATTTTAATTAAAAGTCTGATACTACGAACTTTGTGTCGAGTTTTCATTTTCGCTTCATTTGAGATTAAATTAGCCCATGGTATGGAAACGAGATATCATTAACTCGCAATTTACGATGTATATTTTACTTATTAAAATAATTTATTGACGTATATTTTTTATAGCATAAGGGACAATTGAGCTTGTGTCTCACCTGATGCTAAGTGATTACACCGCCCATATTCTTATCATTACGCATCACACATAATATATAAATATAAATAAATAAATAAATAAAAAATATATATAAATATATATACATCTGTCTTGAATATGTCAGTCGCCACGCATCTTATTATATAAGATGTAGTATGATTTCAAATATGGCACTAGATCTTAAATTAGGTCAGTTGTAAATATTGTAACATCCCTACAGTACAGTTACATTTAGTTTATTTTTTGGAAACTGCCAACTCTCAAGGGATTTAAATTCAGTTCCTCAGGAGTTGTTGCCAGCCAAAGGGGCCCCGAGGCCCGAACATGCACCCTCTTAGGGGATATATGGAACATCTTTGTCTATCTTTTATTTGACGTATGAGCTATGACAGTGACATTATAGGGATGCGTGACAGCTCAGTCCTGGTGTGGTACCAAGTGACTCTATGCCGTGATATTCATGGTGCTGTTCATTAGGTGAGCCGATTATTTGTATTTGGAATTTACATAACAAGTAATATTTTTATTTACCACTAAATAAAACTGGTGTAATAGCGCCTCTGTAATCTGAACTTTAATAGGATTTTCTATATTTCATCTGCCGAGTTTGATACGCTTTCGCGCTGTGAGGCTCAAATATATAGCTATTAATAAACTAGTATATTGTTTTGAAAATTACAGAAATAAAATTTTAATATGAACGGTGGATAAACGCAATAGCGTTTATCCACCGTTGATATTAAAATATCACCGCCAGAAACTAAAATATCATCCTGACCATAGGTCAGGATGATATTTTAATTTCTGGCGGGTACTGCGATGGTGAAACTCAGTAGCTGGTATTAGTATATCCTAACTATTATTCAGACTACGTTCCGTGATATATGAAGTAGAAAAAGCACAGATATGCCATGACTCTTCCAAAAGCCAATGGGTTGAGTCTATCACAAAGACATTGACGTAGACGACGTTACCTCACGTCTACCTTAGCAAACTTATATTTACTGAAAGAAAGTCATTGCAAAATAAGATAAGCTTTTAAATAGCTACCTGATAGCAATATGGTGCCAACGGAAGTCGTACAAAGGTACTGCCAGATATATTGATCTTGAGGAACCGGAGCCGGCGTGTACCAGTCGTGCAGCACCACGACCAGCCAGCTCTAGAGACAGGAACGACCCGGACCGGTGACGCGACCTTATGGAGAATAAGGTTCCCTGTCCGTATCCTGCACTCTGTAACAAAATATTCTGATAAATATGTAATACTGGCTGAATGTAGAGGCATATGTTACTTTTTTACCATTTGTAAAATTTTTCTTTTCCATATTTTCATACCCCAATAATAAATTTAATATTTTTTATGTATGTTATGTAATCATATACTGTGGCTGGTTTTCAGAATTGAGCTATTAAAATAAAAAGTTGTATAAATAATTCTACTATCAGTTGCTGAAAATAGAGCATTCAAATAAATCATTAAGTTTTTTACTATATATTGCGTAACAGTGATTTTTCCTAGATTAAAACCGAAACTACACAACAAAATGTAGCTCATTATATATAATTTGTGTACAAAATTTTATATACAATTCTTACTAGTAAATTATGTCTAACTTACTAGTAAGAATTGTATAGCCTAGCGTAATCGCTCAGCTATGACATAATAAGCTAGGTCAGATAGCATTAACATATAATACAATATTCACAAACCTCAGGTCTCAACCTTAGTGAGACAAATAAAGTGAACTCTCTTGGAAACGTCTTCCCCGCAGCAAAGAGCTCCGAAGATGCGATCCATATGTAAGAGTTGGGTCTTAGACTGAAGGCATGTGGTCGATCAGCCACATGACCCCACCGGGCTTGTGCTGGATGGAAGTTCCGTCTTGCACCCGGTGCTAAAGGGTTTATCGCTCCTGTACAGACAGGTGAAGAAACATATCGATTATTATTAGCAGGTCATGGGGGCTCAAGGCCTCATTGTTAGCAACGTTAGTAACGTGTGTCAGTAATAGTGGTCTGCTCTGGACACCATCGTTATTAATGGCGGGTAAAATTGCCATGACGGGCTTACAGAGCTTCATGCATCTTATCATACTCTACTAGTGCTTCATCATTGTATATATTTAGCACTGGCAGGTGTATCACACATAAATGTCGATTATCCAAAAAAACTATATTTTCCTTAGTAAAATAACATCTAGTTGATACTTTGCAATTATTGGCTGTAATTATGCTAACTTCATTCTTATTCTGAAATTTTCCATTAGTCTTTCGTACCTTGTAATTTGTCTGTAAAATTGTTTGTTTTTTGTAATTTGTTTGTAAAATCTTGTAATTTATTCAAGTTATGTCACATCCCCCTGCAATCCTGAATTCAATTGCAAAGCAAGGCATCCTATTTGCATTACTGATTGAAATAGCATTACTGATGTAAACATCATGCTTTGGTGTTTTGTGCATAAAATAAAAACTGATTGTTGTGCATGTATATACAGAAGATATAATAATATGAGAAAAACTATCATTTGGAGACTTTATCAACGTACTAAAAGTCAAAATTATGATTGCTAGAATTTTTGTCTGTTTTCCTGAATGTTTGTGGGCAAAACTCAGATAAATTTGGTTACAGTTTATATTAATAAAACAAAAATAATCTTTATTTTGATAAACTCTGATAAACTTTGATAAACTCAGTACTTTTGTAGTAGTTTTTTTTATAGTCATATTTTTTATTCTACCATCCATTCCGAACGCAGATTCAACACAAAAAGAATGAGCAAGAAACTCGTATTTATATCTTTTGAATAGATGTTTTTTTTATACATAACTTTTGGTATTTGTTTTAATTTAGTATTTCTTTTATACCAATTGGCGTGTAAACAAAACTGTTATGAACTATTGGTGTACGAAGCCGAACAATCAGTTAGAGTATGATTTGAAACTTTAAGTGCACAAAAACTGGTATATATTTAAATATTTCAGTTAGTTTTTGCCATGTAGATAAAGTTAGTCCCTGTTGTAACCAAACTGTACGAGTCTATCCATATTTCACTCGGTAACTGTGTAACCTCATTACTATTCCACACTAAAGGCAGTCAAGGTGCATTAACGGATGACTTTCCTGGCAGTTTGTTTGGTAATAGTTCCTTCCATGCTCGATCCGAAAGTGTGAGGTGAATATTTTATAAAGGAAGTGGCTTTGTGTTTGACTACAGAACTTGTTTCAACGTGTAATATATGCGAAATATGATCCAACTTTGCAACATGTTCATGCCGGGTAATTTTGCTATCCCTCACGCCGGTTATACCTAAAAAATTTTTCATTCTTCTTTATCAGGTTATTAACCTTTCAGAGATGATTCTGGAAATTTAACGAAACCAAAACCCAGAAATTCTGTCAACGATCATTTGATAGAATTTTTGGCTCACCATAGACTGCCAACTGTTTGAGGGTCATATTATGCAGTAATTATAAGTGAATAATATATCACCGTTTTTATAATAGTATAGAATATTGAAGTTCTCTGAAATTTCACGCATAAATTTTTAGATTTGAAGAAGATTTAAGAAGATTTTCAGATTGTTCTCGCAGACCACTTCCAATGCTTCCACGAATCACTTTTAAGGGGCACTGCTTTATATAATTGTATATCTAAGTAAACATTTAATACTTTTAAAAACGAAGAAGCGAATTTGAAAACACCCGTCGATTTTTAACTAAACAGAACCTAACTTCGAAGCAAAAGTCGTTTCATTTTATGAATATTATATAATCTCTTTGAATTTGGTAAGAATTTTTGCGTTGCTCCGACCTTCTTTACATTTTAATTGAATTTCATAATAACTACAAAATCATTGATGACTGATGACGACCTGATCGTACTAACGATCTTTGGCTATTGTTAGTAATGGGACTAGCAAACCAATTGCTAGCAATGTACCATGTCAATTTGACCTCCATGCGGTAAGTTTCTCCTTGAACTCTTCGTCGTTAATTCCTGATGAATTCCTCAACATGAGCATAACTAACCCTATTTCATACACATCCTATCGCCAGTATATACCGTTAACACAGTCGAATGCAATGAACTGATCCATTTGAGTTAACATCCATAAAAGAATGCTCTTTGCGAAATAAATTATTTATTTTGTAGAAAAACAATGAATAGTTGTTTATGGGCCCTTGTGATGGAGTTTTCTCCTCCTAGGATCGCAAAGTGTACTTAACAATCAGAAGTTGAAAGTTCGGTCTGGATTATGGTAATGAGTTTACAGATTGCTTTGTTGAATATTGCACCATTGTTTTAAAACAGAATGATATTCAAATGAAAACTTTTATATGCTACAGAGCTAATTCTAATTTAAAAGTAAATATTAAAAATCAATTGCTTATCTGAACATATATAATTTAAATTCAATTTTCAAATTGTGTGTTTGTAAATACATATATAATATATGTACATAGTAAACACCCAAATCAATACAAGCAATCATACATATGATTACAAATGTTTGTACTGTACGAAGAATCAAACCTGCTACATCGGAATTAAAACAGTGTGTTAGACCACAGAGGCCATCAAAAGAATAATAACACAAATAAGAACATAACATCACAACACCAATAATAGATAAAATCTTAGGTAATTATTGTAATACAATTTCTGCACGCATTCTCAATAGTAAACTAACTCTTAGTTTTCACTATCTTTTAAAATTATCAAGTAACTATCTTTTGCCCGCGGCTTCGCTCGCGTTAATTTATCCCCTTAGGGGTGGAATTTATTAAAATCCTTACTTAGGGGGTGCTTACGTCATAGTAATTTTATGCATGCAAAGTCTTAGCGCGATCGGTTTAAAATTGACAAAGTTTCATACAAACTTTCATCCCCTATTTTATCCCCTTGGGGGTAGGATTAGTCAAAATCCTTTCTTAGCGGATGCCTATGTCATAACATCTACCTGCATGGCAAATTTCAGTCCGATACGTCCAGTGGTTTGGGCTGTGCGTTGATAGATCACTATGTCAGTCACCTTTGAGTTGTATATATTTAGATTTATATGTAAAACAACGTTGCTAAAATGTTTTCAAATATATACAACCCGGCCTCAACAAAAATTGTATATTCAGGTAGTGATGTAAGATTACAAGCACCGGCTTGTAACCTTGTAAATTACGAAGTTACTTTACAAGATCATTAATACTGCAAAGATCTGTATGCAATATTCATGATATTCTACTACTATGTATACATTTTTTTAATTATAATCTAAGTATCGTACTTTTAAAGATTGTACCTTCACAATTGAAGGAGTTACACGACCTGGCCTGGTCTCCATAACCCTCGCAGCTCGACCTGGAACAATACCTCCGCCTCATCTGTCTGCCGCCTCCACAGGATCTACTGCATGCGCCCCACTCCCCCCATCCCGCCCAGCCTGTAAATTATACATATGATTAGCATTTGTTCATATTTATCTAGAAAATTAAGAAAAAAAAAACAGAATAGCAATCAAGTTGACGGTCTACCGAATGGAAAGCAGTAACTGTCACAAACATAAACAGCATTACGGACGTCATGAATTAGGTGTCAGTGTCCATAGATTACCGTAATCGTTTACCATCTGATGGGCCGTATGCTAATTCGCCACAATCGTAGTATAAAAAAATAATCTCTTATGCATTGATAGTCTTCAGGACTAAGTTGTCATGCTTCCAAATACTGTAATTTCACTGCAAAATCTGACTCTTCGAACCAAACTGGAACACTGGAAAACTAGCAGCTAGACAGAAGTAGGTGAAGTAGAAGCAGGATTGCCAACATTGATACTTTGTATTGAGAGACCTAGCTTAGTGGTAGTAATAGTGAGACAGTCAGAGTTGCCAATCTTAAAATAGTTACTTTTGTATTAAAAACAATTAAAAATCTGATAAAATCTTGTGCTGGCCGCTGCCCCCGGGAGTCGGAAGGCGCGTCGGCAGGCACCGAGTCGCTGGTACGCCCGGACGTCAATCTATCCTCCTCGAGGTGAGAGAGTGCCCTTTTCAAAGCACTCCCTACCTGAAGGGCCTCAATCAACGCCGCGGGCGCGTTGCGGGTGAAGGACCAGGTGCCTCTTTATAGGCACCACGATGATTCGTCCTGAGAAGGACGTTTACACGATGCTGATGCGACGGTGACACGATGCGATGACACGATGCGTGAAAAGGGTTGTGACGACTATGCTTGACGATGGCGATGATGGACGGGCAGTAAATGAGAAAACGGTTCTTGTGGTTCAGAATGCAGAGGCGAGGAGAATTTCTTCAATGGTTGATTTTGCTATTCAGAAGTCGAGTTCGCTATTCGCTAATCGAGGTCAGATTCGCTATTCTGAGGTCAGATTCGCTATAATTTGTAGCGCTTTTGGACGCTACTTATATACGATTTTTTGCTACTAGCCAGCGGACCCTTGGCCGCCCTATTCTCCTCACCCCTTTATACAATTTTTATTATATTTTATCAATCTTACATTTTGTGTTTACAATTTGTGCATCAAACGTCAATACCATCTTTAATTTACATTTTTATTATGATGTGTGCGCTGCGCGACGTGCGGTTTAAGAATAATTCGCGATTTCGCGGATCGCGCCTTTTATATGACCTCGCTCCCCTTCCCCCTCATATATATATAGCGCGGGAGAGCGAGGTCGCGCCACGATTCCGCTGACCGACGCGCTAGCGAACGCACGTATGTGCTCGCTAGTCCCGCCGCCGTCTCGCTGTTCTCTGCTCCCTCGAGCAAACCACCGCGCGCACGCACGTAGCGCAGTTACGTTCGCGCGTTCTTAATCATATACTTCGCCGCGTGTTAGGTGCACTCGGTGCACCTAGCGTGGCCCGGGGCCTCCGTGTCCCGCGCCGACCGCGGCCGACCGCGCTCTCGGCATCCGTTCCGACACAGTGCTACCGGACTTTCCGCGTGTGTAGTGTTGTGTTGTGAGGACTGAAGGAGAAACTCTCTTCGTTCAAGTGAAGTGAAGTGTTGTGTGTGGACGTTCAGTGGCACGGACTGTCGTGAGTTAGGGAGGTGCGTCACGCCTATTGCGCGACGCGCCGATCCGAGCCGCCGCCGCTGCCACCAACACCCGCCGACGCCTGCTGCCTGCCGCCCGCCGCCGACGCCACCAAGTAGGTTCGCTTAGGTACACATTTTTCACTCAATAAGATTAGTGATCTTACATATTAGGGTCACATATCAATAGGCACTCACCCCCCTGCCTCACCCGGCAGGGAGGCCCCCGCTGACACCGTCGGCTGCACCCGCCGACGACCGTCCTTATCTTAAGTACCCTATTGTTTCATTGTATTGTATTTGTATTGTATTGTTGCATTGTTATTGTATTATATTACTATTTCTACTCTTATTCTATTCTTTTGAACAGTGGTAATTAACATTACCACTGTTCAAAAATGTCCTTATCAGAGGCCGATATGCCTCTGTTCTTCCAGTTCCTGGAAAAAAAGTGTCCCGGCATCTTAAATGCTTTTATAGCATTCAAAGCCGCCAAGCCTGTGCACTTAGTGTACAGCTCGCCCCACGCGTCCCCAATGATGACTCAGACTGACACTGACGAATTCGAGGACGATTCCCAACGGCTCCCGCCGCTACCCCCGACCCAAGCCGACCAGGCCGATCCCGCCTCTCCGTCCATGGAGCAGGACGACTCCGTCGCGGAGCTTGACGCTCCTAGTATGGAGCTCGACGCCATCCGCGACGGCGACGTCCCCTCTCCCATCCCCCCGGTCTCCTCAGACGAGGACGATTTTATTCTTGTTGGCAACAAGCGTGCCAAGAAGGCCCAGGGCTCCCAGCCAGCCAAAACAAAGCGTGCCCATGACGGCACCGCTAAAACCGCCCCCGGTCCGAGTGCACGCAAGTCGCACCCCGAGACCAAAGCCCCGCCCCCGTCATCATCCAGGACAAAAGTGCCTGGAACACCGTATCCAATATGCTTAAAAACAAGCATATCAATTTCAGCCATGCTAAGGCTACCTCAATAGGGATCAAAGTATCAGTCCCATCATCTGACGACCATCGTCGTCTCACCACCTTCCTGCGGGAGAAATACATAGGTTATCACACCTATGCTCTCGAGGAAGAGAAAAATCTCCGCGTTGTAATACGCGGTTTACCCAAGGAGCTCTCAACAGACTCCATCCTTGAGGACCTTCAGTCCCAGAATTACCCAGCGCACGAGGTACATCGTATGTACTACAGTCGCGCTCACGCAACAAGGCCGCTATCGACCTTGTTCTAGTCGTATTAGATTTATCCCCAGAAGGCAAATCGATCTTTGATATAAAGAGCGTTTGCCAACTATCCTCGCTCTCCGTAGAGGCGCCTCGCAAGCGTACCTACCCCGGACAATGCCACCGTTGTCAGAACTACGGGCACTCTGCCCGTAATTGTTTCGCTCGCCCACGGTGCGTCAAGTGCCTAGGCGATCACGCCACCGCAGATTGCGGCCGTAGGCCCAACACCCCCACGCCCCCCAGTTGCACCCTCTGCCTCACAGAGGGTCACACCGCGAATTACCGCGGTTGTTCACGCGCCCCACGTCCCGCCAAAAAGAAGGCCACCCACACCCAGGGCAACCGTGCTCCGGCACGTGCCCCCGCCAAGGCTCAAACACAACCCGAGCCACTCGTACCCGCCCTCTGCCTGCTAACAATGCCTGGATTAAACCCCCGGCAATTGTAAGCAAGGTAGCACCCAACCCGCCCGCCCAGAAAGCCCCGCCCGCCCAGTCGGCCCCGCCCGCCCAATCGGCCCCGCCCATGCCCATACACAAACCCGTCCCCAAAACACTGCCCGCGGCCCCCAATGCCAACGGCAGCTCCCTCGCGCAGGACTTCGCATTGGTCGCTCGCTTAGCCAGCACCATCGACCCTAACGAGATTGCCCTTCTGGCCTCCAAGCTCCGCCTGTATAAGGAGTCGCCCCAAAATAGGCTCGCAGCCGTCTGCGAGCACATCGGCGTACTTACCGCCATCCTCAATTTTAACCTGTAATTATGGGTACTCGAGCTCAGAGAGAAAAGCCTCGGTCCGTTCGAATAGCGTTTTTTAACGCGTTCGGATTAAAAAACAAAAGGAGGAAATCGCCTCCTTTCTCACTGACCACCAAGTCGATATTCTCCTCGTGCAGGAGACCCTACTGAAACGTTCAGTCCGCGATCCTAGAATCGCCAATTACAACTTAGTTAGGAACGACCGCACCGCCTGTAGAGGCGGCGGTACGCTCATATACTATAAACGGTCCCTACATTGTATACCGCTACAAACACCGCCTCTCACTCATATGGAGGCCTCCGTCTGTCTTCTCGGCATGACCGGCCACCGACCGCTCGCCGTGGCATCCGTATATCAGCCTCCCGGCAAACTACTGCTGGAAAGCGACCTACGCGCCCTCCTAGATATCAACAGCGCCACCATTCTGGCTGGCGATTTGAATTGTAAACACACCCGCTGGAACTGCCACGTGTCCACGACAAACGGCCACAAACTAGACAGACTAGCCGACTCGCTCGAATTCGAGATAATCGCCCCGCTCCGCCCTACTCATTATCCCCATAACGTGAACCACCGACCCGACATACTGGACATGGCACTGCTGAGGAACGTAACCCTACGGGTGAGCTCCCCAGAAGTCCATGCCGAGCTTAACTCGGACCATCGACCGGTAACCCTCCTTCTGGGCCCTCCGCCCGACACGCCACTATCAACCAAAACAATAACAGACTGGCAACGACTCGAGAAATCTCTCGAATCGACCGACACACCGATACTAAACCGTATTCCCGACGTCATAGAGTCCACCGAGGACACTCTATATATATATATATATATATATAACCACCTGCAGTCGGCAGTCAAGGACTGCTCCAGGGAGGTACCGGCGACGGACGACCGTCGCTGGCAGCTCCCCGATGACGTAAGGAGGTTAATAAGCGATAAGAACGCAGCCACTAGAGCGTACGATCGCTACCCCTCCGAACCGAACCGGGTGCGCCTGCGAGCCTTACAGCGTAGCGTTAAGGAGCGCATCGCGCAGATCCGGGACGGTCGGTGGGGCAAGCTCCTAGAAGAGATAACGCCATGCCACACCGCGTACTGGCGCATAGCGAAATCTCTCAAAACCGACCAACAGACAAACGACATGCCCCCGCTAGTCCGACCCGACAACACTATAGCCTTCTTCGACGAAGACAAGGCTGAGTGTCTAGCGTCCAACTTAGAAGCCCAATGCTCCCCCAGCACGCTCCCAGTCGAGGCAGGTCATCTCGAGAAGATAGACACCGAAGTCGAACGCATCGCGTCCACCCCGCCCACCGAATCCCTCTCACCAGTCACGCTTGATGAGGTCAAAACGCTAGTTGAACAACTACCTATCAA